CACACACGATTGAGGGAGGGAGAGGATTACACCCAGCAGCCTCAGCATCTCTATACTCACACAAGCAGATCGAACACATCGAATCGTTGATTCCACCGCCTCAATCCTTCGAGAATGGAAACCTAGGGTACGAATTGATGACCGCTTGATCGAGCCCTACGACGGTGTTATTGTTGTCTTCGTTGTCGTCTTCAGCGACGAAGATTATGCGAGGGAGGATGATGCCGTTGTCGTGGTGGTAGTGGAGCTAGGGCTAAGGTTTTGGTGGCGGCGGCGATGGCGGAGGCAGACGTAGGAGACGAGAAGGAGGGTGGAGAGGAGGACAAGGAAGCCGAGGGCGATAGCGATGGCGTAGCCGAGGCCGAGGCTGGTTAGGTAGTTGGTTGTGGAGTGGGGGGGAGGTGGTGGTGGTGCGTCGCAGGGGACGGCGACGGTGGTGGTCACACACACACAACACACACCAAACCCAGCTCTCTCTTCTCTCTCTAAGACACACCCAGCGCATAACACACACACACACACTGCTGGCTTCAACACACCCACACACACACACACAATGATACACACACAACGCACACAACGCACACAGTACACACGGAATGAGCAACGTTTCCAAAAAAGGAACTGATCCAGCAAAACAGTCCCACATTAAACCAAGGGCACTCTCGTCCACACAGTTAAACAAAAATGGAAAAAAAAAAAAACAAAAAGGACCAAATCAACCCACCAGCAAGACTATTTGGTATAATAGAATAAAAGTTGGACTATTTGGTATAACAGTTTGTAAAGTAGGATTTATTGGTAAATAATCCTTTTTTTTTTAATTTTTAAAATTAAGAGTATTATCAATTTTGCATAGTAATATTCAAGATAATTGTTTTATTAACTAATAAAAACACAGAGCATGAGATTGAACGTTTTTACTCTTATATTTATTGATTTGATTCAACTATCCAATAAAACCAAGAATATTAACAGTTTTTTTTTTTAATTTTAAAACTGAAAACATTAATAGTTTTTTCATTTTTTTTTTCAATTTTGCACATCAATGTTCCATCAGCATGCTCCTTTTATAGACACAATTTTCAGTTTTGCACCAAAAAAATTCAAATTTAAAAATAAAAAAAATATTTAGTTTTTTTTTTTTGGCACATATATATATATATATATATATTTAGTTTTTTCAATTTGAAAGTTGATATTTTAAAGTTTTAAAAATCAAAATAAATGTGAAATCATGTGCCTTTATAAAAAATATCAAAATGATGAATAATCATTATTTGAAGGGCAATTTTGGCTATTAAAAATTTAATGGGATTTGAAGGTTCAAGAAATCTTAGTAAGGACTTTATTACGTATAAGTTCATAAATTAGAACTTGTGTGTAAATGTCCATTTTTTATTTAACAAAATTAACTAAAAAAAATGAAATTCATAATTACTTTCTTATACAACAATCAACTTACCTAAATTATTAATTAAAACGTATTTATAATATCATTAAAAACTGTTAATTGACTTCATGATTTATTAATAAAAAAAAGCGATTTGTTATGAAATTTGAAACCTCAGTGGCGAAATGTAATTTCCATAACCACATGAGATGATTCGTATTTTAATCAAATCTCAGGAGGCGTGTTTGTAATTTACCCATTTATGTATTATTTTTGAATAATATATTCATATATATGGCATATAATAAAAAAAATTGCAAAACAAAATGGTAAAAAGTATAAATAATTGCCAAATAAGTGGGAATCTAAAATATTTTCACTTGACATGAAATTTGAAAAAAACAAAAAAGAAGAAAGAAGGTAAATTACACTGACACCCCCGAGGTTTATGTTTATTACAATTTCTCCTTCACATTTGAGAAATTACACTGACCCTCCTTGTCAGTGTAATTATTTGACGATGTTAACTTTTAAGTTAAAATAACATATTTATCCTTAACCTTTACATATACTTTAAAGGTTAAATTACATTGACACCCCCTAAGGTTTCAATTTAATACAGATCCCCTCCTGGCATTTAAAAAAAAAAAACTAATTTAATAAAAATAAATATGAAGAAATATATTTAATTTGTAAAAAATTATTTTTAGCCACTCGAAAAATAAAAATTATATAAAAATGATAATTATTTTTATTTTTTATTTCTTAACCAAATTAATTTTTAATTTTTAAAAAAAATTCTAAAAAATAAACCATACATAGTTTAAGAATCTTTTGATAAGTCTTTTCATACGTTGGCAACTTATTTAATTATTTGTTAATTTTACGACATTTTTACCATCTGAAGCCTGTCTGGTAACCATTTCGTTTTCAGTTTTCAATTTATATTTACAAAATTTTTTAAAAATGTCATAAAACTTGTTTGATAATTTTTTTTGGTTTATGAATGGTTGTCTCAGTTAGTAAATTTGAGGGAAAAAATGTAAATTCAAAATGAGTTTACGTTGGTTTTTAAACGGAAATTTAAAATTTTGACTAACAAAAAAAATTTTCAAATAATTTTTTTTTCAAATAATTTTTTTTCTAATTAATTTTTTTTTCAACTAATACTAACCGAGAGGGCAATTTGTAATGCTACTTTAAACTTTCGGGACGGATTATAATTTCTAGAATGTGAGGGGTGTCAATGTAATTTAACCAGTGAGGGCAAAATTGGTATTTAAAAAAATTAAATTGCTGACATTAGCAAAATCTGTTAGTTAACTTATTAGTGAACTAACTGAGGGAGCTATCTGTAATGAAACTTTAAATCTCAGGGAGGAGAATGTAATTTCTAAAAGGTGAGAGAACTATAATAAACATAAACCTTAGGGGTGTCAATGTAATTTATCCCCCAAAAAATGGTGCAAATTATATTAGTGGCCCTCCGGTCCATTTCTCTCTCTCCCGCACACACCTTTTTCTTTTGCATCCTTATCCTCCCTCTTCTCCTCCCTCTTTGCGAACCTTAATGCCGTCAACTACTCTAGCCTTCTTCACCCTCATCTCTGCCTCTCTCCCACCACTTTCCTTCTTTCCTCTCTCTCTTTCTCTTTCTCTTTCTTTTTTAAAATTATTTTAAAAAAATTATATTGAATTGTAATTTTTTCTAAATTATTTTGGATAAATTAAATTGACATCCCTTGAGATTTGAAAAAAATACAATAAGTTCAAGTTTTGACATAATTATATCGGTCTCCTTTTTAGTAAGTTTAAATGGATAGAAACTAATGCGAATATTTTGAAAATACAAAAATAGACAACGTACGTGTAAATGATATAATAATATCATTTTTTCATATATATAACTAAAAAAATTATTAATGAAAAGGAAACTAAGTATTAAATAAATTAAAGTCACAAGGATGATCAATGCACGTAATTATATTAAAATTGTAAAACTTTTAGTGTATTTTTTTCAAACCTCAAGGCATATCAATATAATTTATCCAATTATTTTATATGGTGGATTATGTCTACTAATATAGAGTTGCAATTGACTAATGGAAAATTAAATGAGGGTATACACCATATTCACATTTGATTACGACCTTTGTGGTATTTTGTTATGACCTATTATGATATTAGTTATGACATGTTGTGATATTAGTTATAACATTATTGTTTTTATGATCTAAGAGCTCTTTAGTTATACTTTAAATGGTGTTGGATAATAATTTTTTGTAAATTTTTTTTGTAATTATGACTCTGATTGGATTAAGTTATGACATTTGTGGTAATAAAACCCACAAATGTCATAACTTTAAGCGTTACACTTGACTAATTGGTGTAAAGTAATGCAATATGATGCCTTATTAGAGTAATGTTAGAAATTCTAAAAGTTTTATTAAATTTTTTACCAAATGTCTTATATGGGTGTGGGACCCACATGAGACCCATATGGTGTGTGTCTCACACCTATGTGATACATTTGGTAGAAATTTTGGGGTCTCTAGCATTATTGTCCATATTAGTACCTAGAAGTTTGTTAATTAATTTTAGGATAAATTACACTATCTCCCTTGAGTTTTAAAAAAATATAATAAATTTTATAATTTTAACATAATTACAATGACTTTCCTATTAATTAGATTAAAGAGATCAAAATTAATATAAATGATATGAAAATATAAAAATACACAAGATAAAATGTATATTTCAATATAAAGAGATGGCAATATTATTTTTTTTATTCATGCATCTAAAGAATTTATGATGAAATGAGACCAAAACTCACTATAATAATGTTAAATTTGTGAGAATTATAGTATTTTTTTTTTCAAATTTTAGAGAAGGTGAGTGTGACTTACCTTTAATTTTAGAAGTAGAACCCCCTTCAATCCAGATTTTGAATTAGAGGGTGTTGTTTGAGTATGTGGGGTTCGCCACTGATGATTTAAATCGTTCATTTTATTAGGTATTTTGTATATTTTATTCGCATAAAAAATTAGATTGATCTAATAAATGTAATTTATTTAATTTATCATATTTTTAACCAAAAAAATTTATGTTTTTAAAAAATAAAGCATATATATTTTTGGATTAAAAATGTGATAAATTAAATAAGTTATCTAATTTTTTTTGTATAAATAAAACACATAAATTATTTAATAAAATAAATAATTTCAATAATCAAAATAAAACTATGATAAATTTTACGGACTCAAATAACATCCTCCACAGAGCAATGCCTTTACTTCCCTCGGTCCCTGGCCTCTGCTGCGGCGTGGGGTTACCCTCCATTGGTGCCTTGGTGGTGGGTCCCTCACTTGGTGGGGGTTAATTCCTAACTGGCAACCAATTACCCCGAAATTAAGGTTCAACGGGACTGTAATGACACCACATAGTCCTTTTTTTTTTGTGTTCAAAAAATAAAATAAAATAACATCCTCCAGTTTAAAAACAGGACCGGAAGAGATCTCGTAATTTTATGTGTTTCCATGGCTAATAGATACGTTATCCTTCTTGAGATTCAACCACTCAATCCAAATGAAAAAAATCCGAACCACCCAAAAAAATATGAACCAAACAGAAAACAGAAAAAGATAGAGAGAGAGACAGAGAGAGAGAGAGAGAGAAGAAAATACTCTGTATCGTCGAATTCTTGTCTCTCACATTCGCACCATTTCTGATCTGTTGCTCTCCCTCTCTCACTCATGGAAACCATTCTCTCTCCTCACTCCTTCTGTCCTCTCTTCAACCCCAAAACCCCCTCTTCGAAGTCCCTTCTCTCCCCCTCTCTGCAACCCAGATCAAGCCCTCCCCCTATAATCAAACCCATTAGTTGTAGCCTCAGAAAACAACCTCATGAATCACTCAATCAATCTTTCCCAATACCCAAAAGTTGGTTTTCTCATGTGCAGCATGGATTGGCAGCTCTTGCCATCTCTCTAGCACTGAATTTCTGCCCAATTCTGCCCACTGGTCCTGCATCAGCATCTGAATTTGATGTACTAAACGAAGGTCCACCACAAGAATCATACGTTGTTGATGATGCGGGTGTGCTCAGTCGGGTCACGAAATCTGATTTGAGGCGATTGTTATCGGATTTGGAGTCGAGGAAGAACTTCCATATTAATTTCATCACTGTTCGGAAGCTCACAGTGAGTCAATCAATCAATTTAATGTCAAGTGCTAGCTAATATGCTTTGTTCAGTCTAGTGACTCTGCTACATTCTTTGGGTAGTGTTCTTGCTACAATTTTTGATACTATTCCCAAAAAATAAAAGACTGTAATGAATGTGTACTTACTTTGATTGATAATTTGGTGAAATGGGTTGACTAGTGTGCTTGGATTTACAATTCCATGTTTTGCAATCTTGGTAACTAGATAGACTAGGATGTTCATGAACTCTTCTAGTGTGGTCCTTCTAGCTAATTATTCAACAACCTGGATGAAACAATTGCTCAAATGAATTGGACTAGTTTTGGTAAATTGTTGAACCAATTTCTTAGCAATTTAAAGTTTTCCGACAATTGGCATTAGAGCTCTTAGATGGTCTTGAGTTCAAATCTCGTTATTGCCCAGTTATCTTTGTCATTGTGGACTTAACTCTGTTCTCTACACATGGGAGAGCAAAGCTGAATATACATTGTTGGATTCATCGGGTTCTTTTAAATTCATCTGAATCTTGTAATTCTTATCCCACTTTTAAGTTAACAGTTTGGAATTTAGTAATTAAAACATGCAATCCAACAATGCCATAGTAATTGTTTTTTCTTCATCAATTTGTTGGATTTGAATTTTGTTGTTGAACTTTGTTGCAGAGCAAAGCTGATGCATTTGAGTATGCTGACCAATTATTGGAGCGGTGGTATCCGACCGTTGAAGAAGGGAACAACAAGGGGATTGTAGTGCTTGTAACCAGCCAAAAAGAAGGTGCAGTCACTGGCGGCCCTACGTTTGTCCAGGCTGTGGGTGATACTATTCTTGATGCCACTGTATCCGAGAACCTTCCAGGTAGTCCTTCACGTTGTTGTGTTTGTTTTTTGTTTTTGTTTTTTCAAGTGGGAGTGTGGTGTTGCATTTCTGTCAACAAGCTTATAGTTTTGTTTTTGTTTTTTTGTTTTGTTTTTTTTTCTTCTCTTTGATGGTCAAGAAGCTTATAATTTGACTACATGAAATCCAGAAAAACAATAATATATTTTTATGGGATTAATGTTGATTGAATACACTTACAGAGACTTGAACCAGGGACATTCTCTAGTAGATGTGTTGATGATGTCATAGTAATATCATGAACACAGTTACACAGCGTTAGACCATGGATAATTTGATTATTATAGGTTGGTTTAGAGGAAAGTTGAATCCATTTAAATGTCATATTGGGGATGAAAATTTGAACCATTTACTAGTTTTGATAACCAATCTCGGAGAAGTGAGAACAAATTAGACAATCTCTAGGTTTTAATTATTTCATCAAAGATGTAGTGCAACAAAAGTTTATTAAAAAATGCTGCTGTTTTTCTAATAACTTTATTCTGTTTGAAATTTCAGTCTTGGCTACAGAAGAGAAGTACAATGAGGCAGTTTATAGCAGTGCAAAACGGCTAGTTGCTGCCATTGATGGACTTCCGGATACTGGTGGGCCATCGTTCAAAGACAACAAAAGAGAGCCCAACTTCAAAACCAGGGAAGAGACTGAAGAGAAGCGTGGACAGTTCAGTCTTGTAGTTGGAGGTTTGCTAGTGATCGCTTTTGTCGTTCCCATGGCACAATACTATGCTTATGTCTCCAAGAAATGAGTTGTATCCAAGAAATGACTCTACAAAAACATTTAAAACTTTGTACAAATGGTCATGCAAAACGAGTGATTGATGAGAAATTTGCAATTATAGAAACTAATTTTTGACTTGTGTGTTGAATATGCAGGTCAGATTTGAGTTGATTTTGATTCTCAACGTCTATAGATGAATTCATCATTGACAACATTTAAACAGTGAAATTCTATCATTCTAACTCAGGAATGTTTTTGGATAATTAAGGATGTTCAATCCATATTCCTTTTTCCAGCTAGAGCTCATAGAACCAATCACTGTATGTGGAAGCCTTGCACTTGTGGTGGTGGCTGCGATGGTGGCTGGGGACGAGGGTTGTGGTGGTGGTCGAAGGTTGGTGGTGGTGAGGGAGGAGGCACTACAAGAAAAAATACTTTTGGCGACCACCTATTTTTTTTGGTCGCAAATAGTCCACTTTCTGCGACTAAAATTTAACTTTTGGTGACCACAATTTTTTGGTCGCGGAAAATCACCTTTTGGCGACCAAAAAATAAATTGGTCGCGGAAAGTATACCTATTGGCGACCAAAGGCTTTTTTGGTCACAGAAGATCACCTTTTGGTGACCAAAAAAAAAGTTGGTCCTGGAAAGTATACCTTTTGGTGACCAAAAAAAAAAGTTGGTCACGGAAAGTATACTATTAGTGACCAAAGCCTTTTTGGTCGCGGAAGATTACCCTTTGGTGACCAAAAAAAAAATTGGTCGCGGAAAGTATACTATTGGCGACTAAAGGCTTTTTTGGTCACGGAAGATCACCTTTTGGAGACCAAAAAAAAAAAGTTAGTCGCAAAAAGTATACTATTAGCGACCAAAGGCTTTTTTGTTCGCCAAAGATTACCCTTTGGCGACCAAAAAAAAAAAGTTGGTCACGGAAAGTTATGGCGAGATAAATTTTTTAAAAAAAGGATACTACTGTAATTACATGCTATTTTTCTGTTTAGACATTAAAAGTTTTATAAAATAATATATAATCAAATTTTTATGGGCTATATATTTTTTTTGCCAAATATGAATAAGAAGTATGTCATTGGCAGAATGGATTGGGTGCATGGTGACTCCTTGGTCAGGAGTTCAAGTCCTAGGCAGCACAAAAAATTTATTTTTTTGGGTCAAGGCGCTGACTTTTGGCGACCAACTTATCTTTGGTCGCTAAAAGTTTACTTTTGGCTAATATGAATCGGACTTTCTGCGACAAAAAAAGTTGGTCGCGAATGGTCACTTTTAGTGACCAAAGGCTTTTTTGGTTGCAGAAAACTATCTATGACGAGGGTTTAGCGACCAACTCGCGACCAAATATGGTACTTTTCGCGACCAAAATGTTGGTCACGAAAAGTGTTTTTTCTTGTAATGAGGATGACGGTTTGTTGAGGGAGATTCGTGGGAAGGGAATGAGGGTGGTTAAGGGGGTCACCGGAAATGGCCGGCGGTGGGGAGGTGCTGCGAGGATGGGGATGGTGTCGCCGGCGCTAGAGTCAGCTAGGGTTTGCAGTAACATGGTGCAGTAGGGTTTGAATGGTTGTATATTTGTCCTCTTTGGGAATTTTGTTGAGTGGCAAAATGATAATTAAAAAAAGTTGAAAAATGGTGTAAACTTAGATAACATGTGGTGTGTAAATAGAAACTCTGTTGAATTTTATATTCTTATGCATAACATATATCACTGTTATAGAAATATTTAGGTCATGTGTGTTGCATTTTATACGCGAGATTTTATTATTTAAAATGAATGATTATATTATTATATATCACAAAGTAAAAATAAAACCAATTTTGAACATTTAAAAAGAAAAGTAAAACTAAATTTTATTTGTTTATTTTGTAGGTTATGAATACAAAAGTAGCTGAAATTTATAGGTTATAAATACAAATATATATATATATATATAAACAAGGTAATCCTTGATTTCTTTTTTTTTTTTATTTATTAAGTAGCTTTACAATACAAAAGTTGTTAAAATTTATAAGTAGTAGACACAAAATAGAGTTACAAAGATACATTAAGAGGTCATAAATACTTATTTTTCAAATACATAATTTTTCAAAATTTAAAAAAAGGCATTGCTATACAAATCAAAAAATTAGACTCATAATTTTTAAATCTAATAATGTAACAATCAATTAAGATATCTAAGGTAACACACTCTCTCATATCTTGTCAATCAACAATCAATCAGATTACTTACACATTAGGTCTATAAAATGGGTATAGAAAGTGGGATTATATATCATTTTTCTATTTTTTTTAATAGGAGTTACAACAATTTATGATTGAAAAATAAAATTACACAATTTTGTGGTAATATTACATATTTTGTGATATTGTTACACATTTTGTAGTTAAAAGATGTTAGAATAAAAAAATGTGTAATATTACTACAAAAATACGTAACACTGTCACAAAATACGTAATTTCATTTTTTCAACCATAAATTGTCGTAACTCTTATAAAAAATATATATATATGTATATATATAATATTTACCCCATGAAAGTATGCTTGCCATGATGCTAACTGCTTATTTGATATAACTGCCTGAATGCCTGTGGGTGAAGGTTGGATTGCTTGAATTGGAACAATTCATTGAAATCCTCGTCTTAGCCTACTTGCGAGTAGCAAAACTCAAACCATTTTCCG